ACTAGAGAATGCATGAATGATAATGTACAGACAAGCTTTTTATTATTTATTCATAGAAAACAGTGGGTTTTGGTGTGCTGCTTTGAAAAATGTTCAAACTAGTAGAATATAATGAAAGCACAGTGAAAATTCTATTTCATTAACATTTAATCATAAATCGCTCTTTAATATAAAACATAAAATAAAAGTCTGTCATAAGCACTTAGGTGTAGAGAAAGGAGAAAGTCTGCAAAAAGGAGAGAGGAAATATTGCAGTGTTTTTCACTGCTCTGCTACTTGTCACTTTCAGAAGAAAAAAATAAACAAAGAAACAACAATCTTGAACCAAACTCTCAGGACCGTGCATGATATTTCTTGAAATCTTAATTTAAGATATTTCTTGAAATCTTAATTTAAGCCAGCAAAAAGTATCAACACATAAACAAAGTAAAAATATCTTAGCATATTTGTGATGGCTGAGGAACAACGTTTTCCATCCCTTCCATCAGACTTTATAGAACTCTACTACACCGAAAAAAACAATCAGGACTTCAAGCTCCCACAGAAACATCAAAAGCAATATCTAATAATCTAATAAAGTAATATCATGAAATATCTACCACCATGCTTATCTATGTAACAAGTCTATTCTCAAATTGCCTTTATAGATATAGCAGTGGTGCACAAATAAGTTCTTGAACACTRCAGATCCTCAAGCCTTCCAGAACATGAGACCTTTACAGAACATAGTAGTTCACTTCTCAAGATCTCGTCAGAGAGGCTCTACTTTTTACTCTATAAATATAAATGCAATATTATGCTATCAGCATTGGTTTGACCAACATCACATCGTCRCTTAGCAAAATATGTCTGTAGATAGAGAGGATGCAGGCCATCGAAGATAACCTAAATATCGCTGACCAAGAGCAGAATAATTCTCCTTGCCAAAGCCCATGTGTCCGTGACAGCTATCTGTAAGCTTCAGAGGCTCTCTGATCACGTAATACCTTCTCCTCCTCAAGCCAGCTCTTTCAGCAGCACTTTCTTTAACTGACAAATGACAGTGAGCACCCGAGCAGAGGCTATACCCGCAGCCCCTTATGTGATTTGTTATCAGCAGCGTTATCTGCCATTCCAGGCAATGGCAGCTTGGCAGCACACGAAGATTGTTGGAGAAATGGTAAAAAAATAACCAGTTACACTACTTCCACTTCCTTCTCCCACCCCTCATTTAAAATTCTGACAAGCCAGCCACATTACCAAAAATCTCAATACATTTTCCCATAAAAAGAACAAACACCTCCCCCCCAAAACAGATCTAAAAGCACCTTCTCAACTGCTTCGCTCACTTTCCCGGGTTGCAAAAACAGCGAGCTTTGCAGCCTGCCCAGAAAACGAGCATTTAGGCAGTACAGATTTTCCCAGAGGCGARATTTTTTGAAGGAAAATACTCCCTTGGAGAAGGCTTCCTTTAAGCAACCTCCTCTGTTTTACACTCATGCAGATGAAGTGTAAAGCCTCTGTTCATCACCGTTGAGTGAGGATGGTTGAAGAGCAACAACCCTCCAAGCAGGCAGGTCCCAAGCCTGCTCTCTTTCAAGCCTTTGCCCTAGCAGGCATTCCTGCACTGACTTTTCGGCTGAACAGTATGACTGTGCATGGCAAGCAATTGAYACCATGGGCGTGAAATGATAAATTAGAGGTAATTGCTGAAGCTGTCATTCATGAATTGTGGGCCATTATCTCTTAATGCATCTGGAATCCCAGAGTGCGCAACTTGTGATTTACCAAGTATTATTACTTTGCTACACGGCATGTTGTGCAACAGTTCAATAGTGAGCGAGTAGTGGTCTACAAATGAGATGCAAAACTTCGCATTTAATTTAAAATACGTCTGGATGAAGGGAAATCAGACACACGACTACACCACTTGGTGTCAGTACTTTCCTTGCATATTGTTTTCTCCTGATAACCGCTGGTTAGCCTTGGATCCCACCTTCAAAAATGGCTTTGATTCTTATCTGGATTGAAAACAGGTTGGTCTATTTTTATACAGTCCTACCTAACCAAGACAAATAGTGTTGAACACCCTCAGTATTTTGATCTGTAGCTATCCTTAGCATTTCTTTTCTTCCATATCTTCTGAATAGATCTCAAGTGCAGTACCTTAGAAACAAAATGTTATGCTTAGAGCAATGTGGATTATTTTTGTTGATGTTTCATTTCCAGATACTGCCTTAAACATTTTGAAAGGGGAATCAGCCTTCAGTTTGTTGTTGAATCACATTTACTAAAACCAAACTCTTCTCTATGTCCCAAATCAGTCATCACGTTACACAAGCTTTAGGATTCTGGGGAGGGGGGGAAAAAGGGTGGGCGGTTTGTGTCTGTGTCCTTTTCCCTTCCCTTCCCTTCAAAATGAGTCTTTTTGCTCCTAAATCACGTCYGTTTGCTGCTAGGTCTCATCACAATCCTGATTTGGAACTTATGATCATCCTGCATTTATTTCAYATGCTTACTGCACAATTTATATTACTTAACCTTCCCTATGGTGCTGCTATAAACACCTCACCCCCAGTCATCTCAGGTAGCAATTTCCTGCAACATGTTTTTCCAAAGTAAGATGCCATTATACATACTACTAATACAAACATTATACATACATTATACATACTACTACATACAAACTACTCTTGAAATTTTGCAGTGGTTCTGTCTGGCAGCCTACCAGCATCTTGAGACTCTCATTAGACTGCAGCACAGCTTGCTGATGCCCTGTCAAGCATGGTAGGTTACTTCATTCTGCCTAGATCTGCTCTTGTCCTTTATTTCCTAGAAATTCCCTACTCAAGGGACATCTTCCAGGTTTTGGACCTTTCGGGACTAGAGGATTCAAGCAATTTTGCATGTAATACGTTTCACAGACTTAATTTTGATAACCATGAAGTACATAGGAATGTTCATCAGCTTATCTTCAAGTTCCTAATTATTAAGGAGGTTCTTAGACATCCAAATATGTGAACAATCCAATACACTTGGGGGCACCGCAATTAATATGTCCCTTTTTCATATGATAGGGTTATACCCAGGTCATGCAGGTACTCATGCTGGTGGTTAATGTTGTGCTTATCACATTCATCTGCCTATTAGACCTTAATGGAACTTTTTGGTCATATAAGACAAAAACTTCACTAGGACTTCAGTAAGTTACAATATATATGCTAACTTTGAAATCAACCATTATAACTTAATACAAGACTAATTTACAAGAGCAGAGCACAATGACAGATATTCTTCATATTGTCCTAGGCATTCCATTATAGGCTCCACTTTCACTTGTCTACACTTTAACCACATTTTCCATTCCAAAACTTGCTTTCCACTGACAAAATTCAGCAAGTTCCAGCTCAACCCAGAATTAAACCATGGTCTAGAGTCGGCACTGGTACTGTTCAGGAATGACCTACAAATCCCAGCGATTATCCCTCAAAAGTGGTTTCACAGAGGCAACAACCTTTACCTATTGTTCCTAGCTGCTCAGCTGGTCAAAAAGCAGGAATCTGCCTGAACTCTGCTATGCCACTGCTGAGTGGTGTCTGAATGTGAGTGAGTGAGTGAGTGAGTGTATGAGAGAAAGAGAGAGAGAGGGGGGGGCACAACTTCATGTGAGGGTGTTTCATATATTTTTTTTTTACTCTCTGTTCTTTCAAAAGCATAATACAATGCTTAAAAATCCTTACATAATTAAACCTCAGAAGTTAGAAAGGGTGTTGTCCAAGGAATAAATCACCACTGCATAGGATATATTATTTTCCACAGGACTTTTGTTTGCAGCTGAAGTTGAAAGATGAGCAGTGAATAAGTCATGGGAAAGGGCACCGCGTGGTTCGGATGCCTGAATACCACCCTGAAGAAAAGGATTCAGCTCATGTTTCTGCCAAGAAGTTCCCAACTGATGCTATGCAAGACAGTTACATTCAGCTTTCTCAGAYGGTACCAACTCCTTTTGTCTTCTAAGTGGCCAGTGAGCTGTGACCAAATTGGCAAAAGGAGAGAGCTTCAAGTAGCACAGGCTCTCTGGGAGCTGGATTTTCAAYGTCTCAGGAAACGAGTAATGACAAGAACATAAAGCTTAGACTTCAGGTGTTTTGCTTTTGGTGTCCAAGAACAGTGGGCATTTCTCAAATTTTGATCTCGGTAAAATAACGTCCCAAACATGAAGTGGAAAAAAAAATACTTACTAAATACTAGTATTTGTTTAAAACAAAAAAACGCCGACAGATACCACAGAGATGAGCATCACAGGAAATTTACACTGCAATTAGTTTCTTTGCATTCAGTGCAGGATTTCAATCACATGCCACGAAAAATAAGGTCTTGTATTTCAATATGAACAATGAGAATAAAATGAACTATTGAATAGCTAGCTGCTCATTCCTTGAGTAACCTCCAATTCGGTGAAAYAAATGATGGAGAAGTCCTGTAGAAAAGTAGTTTGCAAGTAGTGTGCAATTAAAACTCTTATTGTAAAGTACATGCAAAATAGCTTGAGAAACCTCAGTTTTGTCATATCTAAATTTCTGACTGTTTAGTCCTAGTGGATTTTATTAACGTAGATTTTTTTTTTATTCTTGTAATTAGTAGTAGATACTGCACAGGGAGGACTTCCTTCATCATCCAGGCAAAGGGCATGTGACAAAAGAAGTATCTAGTATTCTCCAAGCTCATTTGTATGGGGCTGGAATTCCTCCCAGCCGAGGCTGCCATTTCTGCCACTTTATGTTCACAAAGCCCCTTCTCGAGATGCAGCAGCGTATGTTTGCGGTGGTGAGGGACAGATGCTCAATCTCAACAAAGATCAATGTGGCTCTGGGGAGCACTGCAGCATCTTTTCTCTGATATTAGACTCCACTATCCTGAGGCTCTTTCCTATGTAGTGGTTTACCATGTTGCCAGTCTGTCTTTACAATAGCTCTCTTTATCTTCTTTTTTAAATAAGGATGTATATTTAAAAGACATACCTGTCCAATAATAAGAGGGACTACAACAGTCATAAACAGCTGGGAGAATATAGATGTAAAAGGCACAGAGGAGGATGATCCAAGCTACAAAACAAAAATATACTGTTAATACTCCACTTTTCTTAGGATCTGCAAATTTCATGCATTTATATCACATATTAATACAGCATTTGTTTTAAGTGTAAAAACATGCAGGTGTGCACACATTTAAGTCTCAATAATGCATTGGTATTCCATAATAATGAAAGTAAAGCAATCTCTGCTTGATTATTCTATCACCTAAGGTAAAAAGCACATCAATATTCATTTAATTGAAACCCTGCTCCACATGTATGCAAAGTAAATCATGGGAGCATTTGCAGGATCGTAGTCTAAAACAGACCGTGAATCTTTCTACACATGCAGTTCGATCAACTAACCTTGCCACTTGTATAGCGAAACAAACAGAAAAACTGTTATACTTATTTTCACACTACTTAAAAACAAATAAAACAAATGCTGAAGACATTATTTCAATGACATTAAAAAGACATTTTCTAGTCGATCTTGTACTGTGAAAGTAAAACAGCAACAGGCCTTGTCTTCAAATAATAATTCAAACTTCAAATAATATATTTATGATTTTAAATGCTAAAAATATTTTATTCAAAGATGCATGAAAAAAAGGTGAACCAAAGGAAGTCAGTGGGATTCTTGCAATTTCAAATTACTCCAGAATGTGTAGGACAATATGCACATTTCTTTATACTCTGATTGGACTTACTTTATGCCAGGCCAGTTAARAGTTTTATTTAACATCTTTTTAACAGCATTTGAAAACACATTAAMGAATGTATAGTATAAAAATTGAAATAGCATTGCCAGAGCTTCTGAGAAGAAACCATTCTGCAGACAACTGTTTGGTAACAGGAGTAAAATGACCTATCAATGAGGATTTCACAAATCCACATGGTTTTATCTTGCATTTCATTTTAAAAATCCACAAAATGATGACAGAATTCATTTTTTTTTTCAGCTTCATCTAATTAAGAGACACTGATCTCTTAAAACATTCGCACATACTTCATGCTCATAAATTACACTCACACTGCATTATACCTCTGACATCTATCTTCCTTTCAAAGCTACCTGCGGGCATTATAGACAAGGTGATCATACAATCTAGTCACATCCTGTAATTCTGCCTAGCAAATCAACATATGGCCATAAAATAGGGCTGGCATAAAAACGAAAAGAGAATCTGCAGAAATGCAGAGTACAGAAGGAATAGAAATTTTGCATACCAAGTCTTTTACCTTATTCGGATTCGTATGACTACAACCTTTATCCAAAGAACACCATTTGATTTGAAACAAACAAAACCAAAAACTATATCACTTTCACAGGTTTTCAAACAACAACAGCCTTGCCAACTTTTTAAAAAACATTACTTCAAATGCAGTATCTTCAAGCTGCTAGGGACTCATAAACACTGACTATGAAACTATTCCTTTCTAAACATGAAATAGAAACTAATTTACAGATGCTGAGATGCTAACAAACCCACCCACATAACAACACACTTGCCTCGGAGAGGTATTTTACACATCAGAGTAAGATTCACCATCCTGCCAGCTTCACTCCCCCAGTTCAGGCTCACGTCACTGTCCTCTGGCCCACAAAAGACTGACACAGAGACTCTGCACAAATGTCTCTACCAGACCATATTTTAAATAAAACAAACATAAACACAACAGTCCAAAATGTCAATTAAAAGAAATGATTATGCTTTTTTAAAGCTTTTGCCCACAGCAAGTGAGTTTCTTGGCTAAAAAAAAAAATCTTGAAAAAGTACTTATTTGTGTTTTTTTAACCTGAAAAGTTTGGTATAAATGTGATGAGTGTGTGCTAACTTGGACAGCAGCAGGCTTACTACACTAATTAAATTCAAACAAAGACCATGAAAACTCTTCCTTATGGAAAAGAATAGGCCTTTTTCACTTAAATAATCCCMGTTGTTTCTGTCAGACAATTCACATGAACAAGAACTGCATCTTCTGCAAGTGCTTCCTGGCTATGGCTGTACAGAAAGCGAATTCCAGGCAAATCCTTCCAGCTTGGTTATCCTGCAGCCACCAGGCAGCACTTTCATACTTGACCTGCAGCATTCTTGCTACTATAATTCTTCTCAAGAGACTGCCCGCTTTGAAAACACCTGACAAATTATTTAGTAAGTTTGTGGGAGAAACACTGGCTTATCCTTAATTGATAGGATTCATTTAACTAGTTAACTATTTAACTTGTGGTAGAAAAGCTATCTTCCTTGCATAAAAATAAGACAATTCTACTTCCTTGCCTAGTCCGCCGCCACTAGCCAGATGCTCCTTTCTCATCTTTCTGACTGACTGGGTAGGTATCAAAGCGGGGGTTTCTTCCCCAAGGATGTTCCCATTTCTGCAACTGCCACTGATTCCGAATAAACACACCTCCTACCAGTCATACCAAATTACAATCCAGTGCCACATGCGCTGCCTGTATTGAGTCCACTTCAGAGGCGGCTGTCCTTCGGGGCCCTCCTTTTCCAGCATTTCCTTATAATTACCTTGTTTCCTCAGACTGGCTCTCTGCACCCTCATACTTCATTAGCCAACTTGAGCCCTGCCCCTTGCTACGCACAGCCAGGCGGGACTGGGAGCAGGGCACAGAACAGAAGGGTTGCTGGCAGGTCTCTTATGCGAGAGCTCTAGTCTAAGCTTTTCTTTTCCACCTCCAGGTCAGGCTACTCCAATACCTGTCTTTTAACGTTTTGTCGTCAGAGCTTTATCGTCACTGCCTCCTTACTTCCCATTGCTTTGTGTTACTCTCACCCAGCGCAGATCCTGCTGCCGCCGGGTCTGCCYGACCACCCCTCATGCAGCCTCAGCCCCGCGTGTCCCATCACAGAAGGGAAGTGGAAGGTGACACATTTTTTAAAAAGATGCAGGTGGGATGCAGCTCAACACGGAAGATATCAAACACGAGTGACCAACTGAACCAAACCCTCTGCCTCAGCTTCCTCCTCCACCCTCATCTTGTCACTGCAGTWGGTGACATTACCCAGTCATACATGCCCATGCCCAGGCACTGGCCTATGTTACATTGCAGCAGCGGCAGAAAAATCTCCTTGTTAAATAACTCAGGTACYGGCAAATGGGAACACTTTGCAATTAGTACAGTTAATTACGGWGACAACGTTCAGGCTCTGGGAACTTGCACTACTCTGCAGGAGTCAGGCTCGGAGCACCCAAGAGCACCCGCGAGTTCAGCATTGCCCTCCTCTAGAATTCAGCCAGGACACAGAGCTTGGAGGCCAGGTATAAGCTAAGGAGGCCTTCRATCTGATCCAACATGAAAAACAAGCCAACAAACACAAAAAAACAACCAACCAAAACAAAAAACCCTCTGGTAAAAAATATATTTTTTCTTCTGCTCATCTGGCCTTAGATCTTCAACTTATTCTGCACACAGGAAATTTAAATGAAGGTCAAGAGAGATGAAACAGCCAGCCCTGCATAATGTTTCACGAGTCTGAGAGAGCTAGAAGGTCACCAGGATGTTTCCTCCTTCTCCACAGCTGTAAAGTCAGTCACAGGCTCTAGACAGCTCTGTAAGCAAGGAAGGGAAGCCAGGAAAAAGCCTCTGCTCCTGGGACTGATGGTCTCTAAGGAATGGTGACATCAGGAGAGGAAAGGGAAAGGAAGGGAAGGCATATTCCTGAGGATGGAGCTTCTGGTAAGAGAACAAGGAAATAAAGAAGGTAGGAAAGGAAATCACAAAAGATGAGAGACTAGACGGCCAAAGAGAGGTAGTAGTATATTTTTCTGCTACTGTATCATTACTTTTTCCTGGATAAATGGCCTTGATGGAGACTGGTAAATCTGAAAGGTAACTTATAGTCCTTTCTTCTCACTTCCCAAAGCCACTGACCTTCAAAGGCAGAGAAAACTACAGCCACCAGTCCTTATGTTGAGCTAAGCACTAAAGATTTGTCCATGCCTGCGGATAGATTGCTGCAATCAAGCCCTTGGACTCAACCTGCTGATTAAACTGAGAATCCCTAGTTATTCAGGCTTCTTGATTCCTCACTGTGCTGCTGGGCGTACTTCTGATTATCCGAGTCAAAGTAAGAATTAAACCTGCGACAGGTGCAGAAAGAAAACCTGAGAATTAAAGGTTTGGTTTGTTAGTAACGATTAGAAATGCATAGATTATTTAATCCAGTGGAAAAGATGTCTTGGAAAAGATGTCTTGGAAAAGTGAAAGAACTGTACTCTGCGTATGAGTCAGGGAGGTAAATTCTGGAGAAGACATGCTGTCCAGCTGCATAACACTGGCCACAACAAAAGGCAAATGGGTAAATACTGATCTTCAGGAAATTAGAAGGCTTTTACTCATTGGAGAAACAAGTTTCTGGCATGGAGGAAGGGGAGCAGGGAGAAATAAAAATCCTTGTACCCTGGAAACATTCAGTTTTGAGATGCACTGCGCAGGCTGGAAGAGAGGAGACTAGAGGATTCAGGACCAGTCCTGCCAGTCTCCCAGTTCTCTGCATCCTGTGAAGAAACACATTTTGTTTCTGCTGAGTATAAGATGCCTCTTTAGAAGATTCCTCTAACATTGGAGAGATGTTAACAAAAARGAAAAAAAAATCTGGAGCAAAATCAATCAGCAAGGTCCTCTGTGGACCTTCTGTGGAAGTTCTTCCACAGAAACATTATAGATTTTGTAGTCCTTTGCCTAGGCAAGTTTACAATAATTTGCATGTCTTTCAAGAAATGGAGATGTCTTGTACCATTACAGTTTGTATGCAATTTTATATAACAGAGCCATAAAAGGCTAATTTGACAAAGGCATAAAATATTTAACCCAAAGTCTTACAACAGTGATTGAAAAGTTCTTGTCAGCTGTAAGGGGCTTGGATCAGATTCACCACTTTTTTTTTTTTTTTTCCCCCCCCTAATGATTAAAGAGAAAGGAAATGGCGAGGTAAATAACCAGGTAGAAATGATGATGCTCTCTAAAACTTTCACATGAAGGAGCTGATTTGTTAACAGCCAATGCACGATGCTGCTCCCTCCCTGCACAGCCGCACTCTCGGTAACCAGCCTRTTGTCATATAACGGGCAAATCCATTAGCTTCAACTTCCTTATCAACTTCCAAGGATTTCCAGTTATTAAAATATTTGCATATTAAACATTCCTCAGTGGACTGATATCACCGCTCATTTACAGAGGCTTTGAGAGGAAAAGCGAAACAGCATGTGCAGAAATCTTTTCAAAAAAGAAAATTTCTCATGTAAGTATTTATCTGAAAGGAAGTAGTGCAGCAATGGAGAACACTTAGCAAAAAAAATGAGCAAATCATGAACTTTAAATTAAAACATTGGTTTTCAAGACTGTGAAAATGGGAAAAAAAGTAACAAATACTTCTGTCAACATCAAGTTTCATTTCATATCCTTATCCATCAGTTATTTTGTTTTCTGTGAGATATTTGCACTCCAGAAATCTTTCAACAATGCCACTTTCTAGCACTTATTATGCCACTATTTACAATGCCATCTGCTACAAAATTCAGAAACTTGAGGGGACACCAAAGGGGAAAAAAAAATAAACCTTGAATAAATTTTGCATTGGGCCTGATTGCAGACACACTTCTAAAGTGCATAAAGCAATAAAGTAAATAAAAACACAATTACATACTTATTTCTAACATTTTCTTTGATGGCTTTCAATAGATACGTGGACTCATGCACCTTGAGTTTGCTGCTTAGAGAGCTGGGCTTCCAACTATGTGGAAGAGTCCAGCATGTGTCAGCCACGGAATCTCAGCAGCAGCAGGACTACTGAGAAGGCCACAGTGTCCCGCGATGCTGCAACGTTGGGCCCGCTCTGTGTCCAGGGCGAACCCAAGAGACAAGAAAGCCCTCACTGAGGGCCCAGGGTGCTCCCCAGCCTAGGGTTCCTGCTTATTTTCAGTAGGAGTTTAGTCTAAAAGTCTGCTGGATTAGGTCAAGAAATAAATGTCATCTACTGAGAGCAGGGCTGTCGTGTTTGGGTCCGTTTCTCTCTCAGTTAGTTCAATTCATACTTCAGCACCTTGCAGGGGATTGTCGTTCAGCAACAGTTGGCTCTTAAAATATGCCCAAAAGAGGTGCCAGTGCAGGCAGTGATTTCAATCACTGGACTGTAGATCTGCATAAACATTTTTAGTTGGAAAGTTATTAATAACAGGGAAATTGTTATTAAAATTGAAAAAGGAAATTGAACATAAAGAACAAGTCATAAGACAACTGAAAATTCATAGCTCTGTTTCATACCCAAATGACTAAATTCCTCAAGCATTCTTTAAACTGTTTGTAAACATTATTTATCGATATAGATATTTCCAAAAATTATATTCCTTTTACACTGCGGTTTCTATTTATTTGAACTTTTTCCCCAAAATGCCTTCAGAGAGAAAAAAAATAAAAAAAGAAAGAAAGAAAGAAGACATGAGTTCTCTGCTTTAAAACCTTCATGATTAATCTGTTATCACTGGTTTCAGCAACATATCTGATTTACTTGATGAGAGGAAGACAACATCCTTCTCTGATTGCTGCAGTTCCCAGACTATTATCATGAAAGAAACATCACTTATGATTGTAAAGAAACACAAACAGCAGGACACTCTGCTAACTTGCAACTGGCAAACCTTCATGTTGTTGCACTTCCACTTGCCATGTACATGAACCCTAACCAATTATATAGTTTATGGAACATTCCCCATTTGTAACACCATTGCTGGGAATACAACATAATTGACTGTTAATAATAAGGGTTAACACAAGGATGATGATCTCAGAGTCATGCCAGGATTCAATAGTTTCTAGACAGGTGGGATGTTAATCAGATTTCTACAGCAAATGTTGCTATTCTTTAAAGTCTAGCTTAGTGTTTGCACAAGGATACAGTAATTAATTGCACGATATCTAAGGTTTCATTAAATCAATCACTATCTCTCAGAATTTTTTTTCTGATAAGCTTTATACCATAAGTTTCACAGTACTTCTGTGAAAAACACTTTTCAGAAATGTAATAAATGTAAATCTGTATTTAACACTATTCATTTAACATAATAAATTATTTGTATTAAATGTATAATTTATTATAAGCTTCAACATGTCTTTATCACCTTTGTTTAGGCAACTCTTACTTGCTTTACCAGACAAACAGCAAAGGCAGTGCAGAACATTGTATTGTCTGGTGAATATGGGGCAACATTTAAACCATGAGCACTGCCCCACATAYTAAAATCAAAGAAACAAGAAACTAAGAACAAGCTGATGGACAACAATTTATTATGTTCTGGCAACGCCAAAAGTGTTTAATGCTCTATAAACATGGAGCCTCAGCAACAGCACCACTAATATAGAGTAACACTCTGTGTGGAAGAGTTAATGCTAGTAAGTGCCAATTTCATAAAAACAATATTTACTAAAGGCATTGACTTTAAAGAATTCAGAAGCCCAAATCAGGTACTGTTGAGGTAAATGGGACATCTTTTTTTAATACTGAAATCAGAAAATCCCACCCTATATTAATTAAACGGTAAATTGAGGCTGGAAAATTAACTGATGAGAGTACAGAAACATGAAACAGAAGTCACCAGTGTTGGCCATCCCACTGTCACTGGGCAGTACCACTTGAAGGGGTCAGCTCGCTGTCCCAAGGATCTGCCATGGGCAAAAGGGACCTCCAGAGAAGATGGACCTTATTGTTACAAGAGCAAGAAAAATGTAAGAGCAAGAAAAATGTAAGAGCCATTTTTCTTACTTAGAACAAGTATCTCTTTAAACCTACAGAGAATCTATGGTCTCAAGTGTTTGAGGAAAGCTCTGCTGGTATATATTGATATGATAAAGTCAGCACAGTTTTTGCACAAATACAGCTGTATGAGCTAAAATATAATGTGTTAGAATAAAATAAAAATACAATAAAATAGAAATCTTCCCAGGTAGTTTACTCATTGAAACAATAATTGCTCTACTCACTCTCAGAGCACTAAGTATCTCCAAAAAGTATACATTGTTAAGTCTATATTTTACATACTTATACACATATAGAGAGYATATACATCCTGCTTCTCTGGAAGCCCTAAAAGTGTCTCAGCTCTCTCCCTGCCCTTCACAAAGTGGCAGCCCTCAGTAACTGGCAGCACATTTGCCAGAATTCTCCCCAAACACCATCCCTGCTAATTGCCATGGGACACACCGGAGACAACCATAGCACACCGGCTATGGTCTCCTCATCATATACTGAGTAATACACACCACCACTACAAAGTATAAATCTAAAAGTGTGTCTTCACCTATGGCCTGTAAGGAACCAAGGTCCTGACGGAAAACTAACAACTGAGAAAGTCTTGATCTAACAAGAACAAACCAACCTCTTATTAGTGCTGCACAGGGGCTCCAGTCATTTGTCTTCCTCCTTCCAAGATTTCACAAACCTACACAAAAATCCTCATGGGCTCAGTTGGCCAAGCGTGAGGCTTCGTTCACCTGAACAGGGCTCCCTGCTGCCACCCATTTTTGTTTGCTATGATCTTGCCCAACCCCTGCACACGTGTCCTGTGCAAGGGACCTCCTAAGCTGCAACCACYTGCACAGCAAGCGCTTGTATTTGAGCCAGTCTAAAGCACATGGTCTTGTCATGCTGCAGGAACAACAGGTTTCAGTCCTCCTAGCAGAGCACAGAGCTCGTGTTTGCATTCACTGGCAAACAATTTTACAGCCCTCTGAAAGGCAGCTTATGTCATGTATTGACCAAAACAAATCTGCCTCAGCATTTAAGTACCGTGAAATCATCCGGTGCTGTCTTAAATATAGCATCTACCGGTACAACATTATTCAGTAAAAGGACAGACATTTTCAGATCAAAATACTTACAAAAAGTAGAAGCAGCAGCGGAGTTATAACGATGCCCTGGAAGAAATAAAAACAGTTGTCTGTTAGTCAGGGAAGCAGAGCACTCTTTACTTCCTTGTGCTCGAATGCACCGAAACACACAAAGYTCATTCAGCACTGTGGAAATTAAGTGACAAAAAGGAGAAGTTGGGCTTTGCTTTTCACTGTGTAGGTTCTTTGTTGATACAAGCATCATTTTATAAACAATACTCATTACATTTTTTAAAACCTCACGCTTTCCCCCCAAATCTTGATATTTGAAATTATATACACATCAAAACTCCCCTCTCATTGTGCTATATCTTAACTCTAACTATCCGCCTCTCCCTAGGAGGAGATTGGTGATTGAGGCCCATGTTGTCCAGTCCCAGGTCCTCTCCTGTGCAAAATCCACATCCACTGTGATGAATTAGGTGTTGTGACTGTGTAATGTAAGCTGATATTCCCCAAGGAAACGAGCTGAGATCTCCAAACTCATTTCACTCGATTAGACTTTGTGTCTCAGTGGTAGAATGCAAGTCTTTCATCTAATTTAATCACACAGGACCACCTCAGCTTTCCACATCCCCCAGGCAGACACAAGCAAAAAGATTTGTTTTGTTCACTGACAAGGAACAGGTTTAAAGCTGATGATTGGAAAAAATATAGGATTTTAAGTTTCATGAGGGTAAATTTTAAAATGAGTTGTTTGGGCTGGGAGTTAACATGACATGCATCAGTTTCATAGTTGCAAACAGTAATTCCCCATCATCCTTCCATCAGGCTTCAATATTTTATTATTTCTCAATAAAACTATTCTCACATTTAATGCATACTAATTCACAAACCTCACCCAGAACTTCTCTAAGTCAAGATTATTCTTTAGCCAAAGATTTCTCAGGAATAATTCTTCTTGCAGCTATTCACAAAATTCGTCCTCCAAAGGACAAGACTCTCAAACTTGTTTACATCCATCTAAAACAACATTTTCTTTTGGATTGGAGTTCAAGTGAAAAATAGTCAAACAAAAAAGCAACTCTACCTTGCTTTTCATTTAACCTTGATAAGCACAGCCTTACTCCATTCCATGGAAGCTGATATTAATCAAAAAAGCATTTCTACAAACATCTTTGTATTTGCTTTATGGGCCCACCAGGATCGCAGTCACAGAGAGCCCACGCGGCACAGAGGGCTCCCACTCAGAGCACTCTTGACAGGCAACAAGTAGACGCCCCCCACCAGAGCAGACACACGGGAATGGAGGCAACAGTTACCCTGCACAACCAGAAGGTTCTGCAGAATTTTAAAATATATTTTGAAATAAATAATATATGCCATATCTGACTGGCCCACAGCCTAGCTATCCATAATCATTTATCTTTTGTGAATGTCACATCTTAAATAGATCATAAAGATTGGAAAGAGAAGAGGTAGAAGCATTAAGGATTGCTTCAGGGAATCATTCCCTGTATAGGGGGAGGCCTAGACCAAAATGTAGGAATGTTTATGAAGAAATAAAGGTGTTCAAGGCTAGCAGCAGCAGAGGAAGGAAAAAATGTTCAGGAAGGGAAGGGGCACTAATTGCTGAATAGACACTGAAGGGCAGCATCATCTACAGTGCTTAAAAGGGAGAATTGACAGTAGGTCTGTATAAAGTGGATGCACACAGATGCCTCACTGGAATGAGCAAATGCCAACTTTTATGCAATATTACTCAGAGCAAGGTACTCAGAGGAATATGTGATACTACCTGTAGCAAGATACCACTGCAACTCTTTCTGGGTAGCAACAAACAGGAGCATTGCAGGGCAGGAGGTTATTTACTTACTATAAGCAACCTGTATTTTAAGAGAGCTGAGCACAGCAAGAAGACAGGATCCTCCCAGCTGCTGAACACAGCTAGCTTTCCTTTGCACCTGAAGGAACTCATTGGTTCAGCAGCATTGCTGATTTCTTACACATTTCAATAGCATTTTCATATAATTGTAAAACAAAAAAAAAGTGTGAGTAAAAAAAATGTGTTTTATCTGTAAAACATAAAAAAAAAGGGAGGGAGAGAATGAAAAAAATATTCCTACTTTCCCCTTCATTTTGCTAATGAATCAATCAAGCTGGAGTCCTCCCTTTGGACGGGTCCCTTGATTCCCTATGTATTTGCTTTGGAAGCTTGGGGATCTCAGCACAATGGTGTGGGCAACAGTCACTATTAAGTCAAAGCCTATAATGTTATGAAGCAAAGTGTTACCTCTGTGACAACGTTTCTTCTTAATTCTGTAAGCAGAGAGAAACAAGGAATATCCCTGCATAACGTTAATAGATTTCTGACTGTGCTTTTTGAAAGTCTGACTTTCAAACTGTCCATTCAATGATTTTCTAGAAAGTTTTGCAATTAAATCTGATCATCTTAATAATTAAGAACCAGTTTCCTATTGTCCCTCCACAGAAAGGATTTACAGGGCTGAATTTTCCCATTTGCAAAATGCAAGCAATTCCCTGGGAAGCGAAACAATTACCTGACAGAATAGATGCGATTATATTAAAAAAATAGATGCTGTTGCTGAATCAGAGTAATTTGATGTTAATGCTTTATTTTGATAAGGAGTGCCAAATTGAAAAACCACAGAGACTACATTAAAACCAAGAGGTTTTCAGTGCTGTGGTAGTTGTAATGGTTTATGGGTGTTAGCAAGGAAAGATTTATTAGGGGATGGAATAGCTGTTATCACACCAACTGATACAGTTGGAAAAGACTTTGGACACATAAAACCCTATATGTGTTATATAAAACGTACACGTTATACAGAAATATTGATGTGTTTGTGTGCAAAAGCCCTTCTTTTCAGGTTTCTGTTCCAGATTTGAAGGGTTTTATGTGACTGAAGTACATTTGTCTAATATAAGGTATTGCAAACACGGTCTCACTTCAGTAGATCACTTTGTTGTTAGAAATGAGCTCCCCCATATGCTCATAAGCACTACGTGAAGCATCTCAATTCATACTTACTAAAAGTAATCTATAGGGCAATTTCAGTCTAAAAATATCTGACAGAAATTACAGACAACAATTCAGGCTTCAGAAGTAAAACTAAAACTGTATTTCATTAAGAATAACCAAAACCAGAGAGTTAACAGTTACTCTACACCGTCCAGTTTAGGTGCCAGCAGATCGTAACACAGAATATTCTAACATGTGCTGCATGCCTATAATCTCAGACCACTACAAGCAGAGTGGCTAAAAAGCACAAAGGAAACTAGAAACAAAAAAGAAAGATGAAGTCCATTGGACAGTAATATCATCAGGGGAAAAACTACCTAAATTTGACTACTCTTTTCACTGCCTGGCTTTCCAGGCAAATGCTGCCAAATACACGGTGTATGGAGATAAAGAGATTGTAGGTTAGCACTTGCAGCAGAAGCTGAGCATCTGCCCTTGAGAACGCAAGGTCACTGCACAGTTTTAGCATCTCCAAAGTTCGGGGGGAGTGTTAAGCTTTCTGACTGCTGCCCACAATGGAGTCAAAGTTGTAAAGTGGCTGCTGTTTGCTATCAGCAGAAAAACTTTCAAGAAATCCATTTACACCTCTGATGTGAAAGACTGACTGAATATATTTCRATGATTTTAGTGGAAAGAAAAAGATCTCAGTCTGACCTGAAACACTGATACAAAATAGGAGTCTGCATAGTCATATTAGATACCTGAAAACACTTTTTTTTTTTAAATTTGCAGTGAGGATCATGAAACATGTCTTAAAAGTTTAAATGCATGTGCGTATGTGCATGCGCCCATACATTTTAACACGAATGAGATACTCAGAGATTCATTTARCTCTTATTTTCTTTGTAAGATGTTAAGAATAAGTTTTCTACATGTTTCATGCAATGCAGCATTACTTTAGAGTGGATATTAAAAGCTGTTTTCTTGTCCAAGAGAATATGTGGAATCAATATCTGTAATTGGCTGCCAAATTGGTTAGCAAAAGGAAGTAACATAATGGATTTAAATCTATGATGGAAAATCATTAAGAAAGAAATTATGCAAATAGTTAGAACAAGGTGGGCACAGATCCAGGGGGACACACGGCAGAAGGGGAGAAAGGATTATTGTAACAAGGCATGAAATACACATGAACTTTCCTTGGTTTCCTTTACCCCTACATTTCTCCAGCAATTTTTCTTCATTCATACACGTCATCAGTACGACACATATGTGGCAATTATCAGCAGGAAAACTCTTAACCAAAATAGTCCCTGATTTGTCTCAAAGAGTAGGATTAGAAAGAAAAAGTTGTCTGTAATYGAGGTGATGAACCAACGCACATTTTCTGAAATCACTTATCTGCTCCCGTGCATAGAGCTAAGGATGTGTTTGACACTTCACTGGAGCAGGGCACAACAGGAGTTTAAGCAGAATTATTTTATACACACACAAAAAAGAAGAGTTGAAGAGTTAACTGGTCAGCATTTCCAGCACTGACAGGCTAACGTGTGGAGAAAATAGCTAAAAATTCTGGATAATTTCATTAGAGGGCAAACTTGAATGAGAAGTGAAATTCAATCTTCATCTGCTTACACTAACATTTTTCAAAATGCGTTTATTACAAGAGTCATCGGCTATTTGGATGAGGACATCCAAAAAAGACAAAACAACAAACCACAACCAATCCTTTGGAAAATATTACAATGCGGACCAAGTTACTGCAGAAACCTATTCAGAAGAAAAAACTGTTTCTGAGTTCTTCTCACAGCTTTTAGCATCTGTGTAGGCATGGCTATAAAAGCTATGCTGTCCTACTCAAAGACAACACTGAAGAGGACGGATTTTAAGATGCTTATCTCTCTCTCTCTCTCTCACTCTCTCTCTCTCTCACTCTCTCACTTTCTGCACTAACTTATAGATTTTGCCCCACTTTCATACTGCATGTCCATGGAAATGACACAAATGTAAGTTTTAGCTGTTGGTATTTCAGACTAAGCTAGCACTGCCCTTTCCGACTTCTCCTTTATTTCAGTGATTGTCCCATGACGCAACTTCAAGGTCC